GGCTCGTGGCCATCCGTGCCCAGCACTTCCAACCTGTGCTTCATCTGCACTCTGAGTGTGGAGGCGAGTTCGCCTCTGGTCCCAGACCTACACGCAGAATGAAGATTGCTCGTACGTCCATGATTCATGACAGTGCCCCCCATTTTCTGTGGCCATTTGCACTCCGCTACGCTGCACACCAGCTTGACCTGTGGCCTAGTTTCTCACGGCCGCAGGTTTCGCCGACCCTCCACTAGTCAGGGTACCTGGTGTTGCGCCTGTGTCTTGCATCTAGGGCTGCCTTGCTCATGTCCGTGATCCTTCTCACCAACCCCACTGCCCCTCCTCCGTCCGTCTCTGCTCTGGTCGCAGCTGTTACTGACTTTGCCTCCACCCGCCGCCTTGACCACGCCACTCAGTTGGTCTCTGCTAATGCCCGTTCTTTGTCCATTCGGGGTGCTCCTGCCCTTGGCAATGACGTCCTAGAGGACAGGCAATTTGATGTAGCTTTCCTTGCGGCCGCTGCTCCTCATCTCTGAGCCATGTGGCTAGCTCCTAAACGTGACCCGGGCGCTCTTAATATCCCGACCCCTTGCACTTACCCTGAGGCGGTCTCAAGACCCTAGGCCTCTCAGAGGATAGTAGCCATGGACGCAAAGATGTCATTTTGGAGGTCCACTTGCACCTACGTCGACGCGGTTCTCCCTCCTGAGGCTAACATAGTTGATGGCATGTGGATTTTCAAGGTGAAGCGGCCACCAGGAGAGGCGCATGTTTTCAAGGTGCGCTACTTAGAAGAGGCTTCAGTTAGCGAGAAGGGGTAGAATTCTTTCATACCTCTACCCCACCCCGAAGATGACAACTTCTCAGCTACTGCTACACATGGCAGTGCAGCGCGACTACGAGCCGCACGCTCTCAACTTCTCTACTTCCTTTCTCCAGGGAAGCTTGCATGAGCATATCTTCCTCCACTGCCCACCTGGCTCCACTCGGTCCTTTCCTCCTAGGACACAGTGGAAACTTCAACGTCCCGTCCTCTAACGACCGCTCTCTCTTTGTTCAGTCTGGTTCCACTCTCTTTTACATTCTCGTTTACATCAACGACCAGGTTTTTGCCTCTTCCGTCAGAGTCGCACTGGCCTTGGTGAAGGCCGAGCTGCTGAGGAGACACGCTTGCACTGACCTTGGTGAACTATGCCATTATCTTGGCCTGCAAATCATCGGGGACCGAGCAACAAGCACCATCACTCTTACTGAGTCACACATGGTGCAGCAAATCCTCCAGCACTTCGGCCTTCAGTTCTCCTCTGCACAGCCCACTCCTCTGCCTGTTGGCCATATGCTCTCGGCCTCTATCTGTGACAAGCCGTTGAGCCCATTGATAAGTCCTCCGAGCTGGTGGGGTGCCTCATGTACCTGATGACCTGCTCTCGCCCAAACCTTGCATATCATCTAGACTCTCAGGTTCTCTTAGGGCTGTTTCAGCCTTGGCGCCGGAGCTATCTCATGGAGGTCCACTCGTTCCTCGTCAGCTATGACGCAGAGATCTACGCTGGTGCTATAGTTGCTCAGGAGCTCGGCTGGTTGATTTTCTTGCTCACTGATTTAGGTGAGCCATCTAGCTCTGCCCTGTTCCTGTTTGTTGATAACATGGCCATGATCCTCCTGTATCAGGAGCCTGAACTGGAGGGCAAAACGAAGCACATCAAACTGCAGTATTTCCTGTTGCATGAGCTGCCACAGTGAGGCCACGCACGTGTAGTAGACTTGGCCTCAGGAGCCAACACCGCTGATATCTTCACCAAGGCTCTCCCGCCTCGTGATTATCATCGGCTCTACACACAGATTGGCCTGGTCCCAGCTGGACCCCAGTGTGCTTGATTTATTCTTGTCTGTTGATACTAATTGACTGGCCTTGTGACCCTTTGTCCCTGGGGCTGGGCTAGTAGTACCGCCCTGAGTTGTACCTCATACACTTTGTTCCTCTTGATTACTATCCTTGTGGCCTCTTACCTCAGAGGCTGCACTATTAGTCATGCCCTGAGTTGTTTCACTTCTTCTTGGCACTGCCCCTTAACTACCCAAAGGGATGTGTCATAATACACATATATACATTTGCATGTGTTCTTGTAGCCTAGATTGGGTTGTGGTATAGTGGGTATGGGTTGCTATATATCTCATCTGTGGTATGTCTTCATTCTACTCATTTGCTCACTTCTTATTAAGGAATACATTGGCCATGAATTCGCGTGTACCATATAGTAATACCCTCGATATAAGACCCCCCCCTCCAGTTGTAGACTCCCGGGTCTATAATACGGAGGGGAGTACACTAAATAGGTCATTTGTAGTTATACCCCTCTAAATGGGGGCTAACATTATAAGATCCCCCTCCCCTAGAGACCGGGTCATTTTATAGCCAAGGAATGAATTTCTTATCGTTTCCACAACAAATCCCACAACATTTTCATTAAGGAGGGGAAACAACCACGTTATAATATGGTAACCATGTTTTGGGACCAATGGGAGAAGGCACCCTGGGTGGTTGTTGGGTGACGTGCCTTCCACGGTCGTGGAGTTCATTCGGCGTATTTCTTTTGAATGCTAAAAACGGAGCACATATTGTTCACATGTCTGGCTTTCAAACACAAGTAATATACATGACTTTATGATAAGACCCAGGTCTTATAAAATATATGCCAACTATTAAGATCCCTCCCCCCCCCCCCATTTTTGGGGTGGGATTCTTATAATACCCCCGGGTCTTTTATCCGGGGCATTACGGTATGTTGGACAACAAGGGCAAACGGAAATGTAAGACTAGCCTCCTTATATCATTCTCAGAGAGCAGCCGATTCGCAGCTGGACTCCTTCCACACCTGCAGCCTCACGCTCCCTGCCTCTATTCCCTCTTGGAGCTTCACTTCACACACCCACCTCAGCCCCGCTACCTTTTCCCCCCCTCACTCCATTTCCCTATCACCTCTCGCAGCCCACCTCCCCACCCTTCTCTCGCATGTTGTAGCCAGATTCCCAGTCCCTCTAGTCCATGGCCTTAGAAGTCAGCGAAAAAAGGCTGATTTAGGTAAAAAAAGGCTGAGACTTCATACCTTTTTTAGAACTGAGGCTGATTTTTTAGCAATTTGTTGAAAAGAAACATGAAATTTTATGTTGTGGATGAAATTTGTAGTGTAAAATGGCATAAAAAGGCTGACTTGTATTATTTTCAGCAAAATGTTTTGTGCCAATTCTGGTTTTTCAGCCTAGGCCAAAACGAATCTGAGGCCCTGCTCTAGTCTCTCGCGTCTCATTCCGCCCTCCCTTTTTATCTCACCTCTTGCCGTCCTCCTTCCCACCCCCCCAAGTCTCTCGCCTTGCTTTGGCTCCTCCATATGCGTGGAGTGCGCTTGCTGGATTCATATGCATGTTCTTGTTGAGATAGTTAGGAAGGAATGGGATGGATTGGGGCAAGGAGGGGGATACAATGAAGTGTCGAGCAACTTACTGTACCCCCTAAGGCTAAACCCACTACAGCCTAGATAGCAGTAAACATATAATTTGACACACCCCCATAGGCGAAGTGGGGGATAGCAAACACAACAAGCGGTCACAAGACCAGTCAAGAGAAGAAACAAAGCAAAGCAAGCTCAGGGTGGATCTCAAGATCACCACGCACTCTGAGCACTAGCAAGCGGCCACAAGGCCCGTTCACATGCAGTTTAATAATAAAGCAAGCAGTACAATGATTACAACCTAGCAACCAGAAACATGCAGGTTTATATATCAAAGTACAAGACAAGGTCAAGAGACAAGCAGTGTTGGCCCGTGTGGCCACGTACAAAGGGGAAGCTGGGAACGCTGCTGCAACACTCGCACGGAAAAGGAACGAAGTGCAAAGTGTGCTCGCTAGTCTGACCAGGTAGCGCAGCACCCTCCTAGCAGCCCGCCAATGTGCAGGGTGGTGTCTCCCGGGCGCAACATAGCGAGTCCGGATGCTGAGAGGGTACGGCAGGTACTCCTGCTCGAACTGCCTGTCCTCAAGGACGTCACAGCCAAGGGCAAGCTCACCCCCGACGAACGGAGGGCACGAAGAGGCAGAAACGAGACCAGCAAGGTAGGCACGGCGGCAAGTAGTGGCAAAGCCTGCGAGCTCAGCTAGTAAGGCACAAGCAGCAGCAGGCAAAGAAGCAGGTGCAGTCACAAGCGTGGCTAGACAACAAGGGATAGTCGGGCGAGCAGCACGAGCAAGGTCAGACACAGGGTCAGGAACAGCAGGAAGAGAAGACGGGGGAGGTAACGGCAGAACAATAGGCTCCCGAGTAACACGAGAGGGAGCAGGGGAGGCGGCACAAGACACAGGCTCCCGACGCCCAGTCAGGGAGACGGACAACGGGACGTATCGAGCAGGAGCAGGCAATGGGGAGTCAAGCGGCAGAAACAACAGAGGAGGAGTAGTACAAGTGGGCGTCGGCTCAGGTAGCGACGACGACGGCTGCTCCAAGAAGATAGGCCGCCGCGGCAGCGACTACAACGCACCCCCAGACCCACACCTCCAGCGCCAGCACCTCCAGCGCCAGTACCTCCAACTCCACCAACAAGAGGACTCCTAGCACCCCCAGAGGCAGCACCCCCAAAACCAGCACCCCCAGCGTCACCACCCCCAACAACACCTGGGCCCCCGAAGTCCGCAGCGACAGGCCGCAGAGGAGGCGAAGACGTCAAAGGCGGAAAACTCGGAGGTGTCTCCAAGCACGGCAAGCGGAGAGAGGTCGCTGTGTCGGCAGCAGTAGGGTCACCCCCCTCGGTCGAGCCAGAGGAGGCAGATGGGACTACGAGACATGAGAGAACAGTGGAGGGGTGCGCATAGACTGTGCTAGTAGGCGCACAAGCAGCGACACACGAAGGCTCTAACTCCTGGTGCCCGCCCCCGCCACTCCCGCCAGCTCCAATACGACCACCCTCGTTAGCTACAGTGATGAGGTCTGACAGCGCAGGGAAGGTAAAAGGCAGCGCAAGACAGCCTAGGACTGCAGGAGGGGGGGGGGGGAGTAGCACCTAACCACAGCGGAATACATAGCATGGGCCAACGGCACCTGGCGAAAGTTGGCTCTCTGGTCGAACGAGAGGTGAAGGCGGACTGCAAGTGTGGCGGCGGCGTCTCGCGCCATCCACCGCTTGTAGGCAATGTGATCTGCGCGGAAATGCGTCCGCACCTCCTCCCCAGCGTCAGCAGCAGGCTCACCAGGAGCCTTGGGGGCCTGAAGAGACCCCGACGTGTGCTCGAACAGTGAGACATCGTCGCGAGTGACACTATGGAGGTACAGGTGCAGCCCCTATAGCCAGGAGTCGAACCCTAGAGGGTGCCCCACTGTGTCAAAGGCTAGAACAGTGGGAGTCGCCATAGCAGCAGGAACGACAGCAAGCAGCAGGAGCGGCAGTTACGGCAGCAGCGGCAGCACAGGTGGCAGCAGCAGCGCAGGTGGCAGCAGCAGCAGCTCAGACGGCAGCAGCAGCCTAGCAGCAGCAGCAGCAGCGCAGGCAGGAGCAGCAGCTTAGCAGCAGCACCAGCGCAGCAGCAGCAGCACAGGTGGCAGCAGCAGCGCAGGCGGAAGCAGCAGCTCAGGCGGCAGTAGCAGCTCAGGCGGCAGCAGCAGCCTAGCAACAGCAGCAGCGCAGCAGCAGCAGCACAGGTGGCAGCAGCAGCTGAGCAGCAGCAGCAGCGCAGCAGTAGCAGCACAGGTGGCAGCAGCAGCGCAGGCGGCAGCAGCAGTGCAGGCGGCAGCAGCAGCTCAGGCGGCAGCAGCAGCCTAGCAGCAGCAGCAGCAGCAGCGCAGCAGTAGCAGCACAGGTGGCAGCAGCAGCGCAGGCGGCAGCAGCAGCGCAGGCGGCAGCAGCAGCTCAGGCGGCAGCAGCAGCCTAGCAGCAGCAGCAGCAGCAGCAGCAGCAGCAGCAGCAGCAGCGCAGCAGTAGCAGCACAGGTGGCAGCAGCAGCGCAGGCGGCAGCAGCAACTCAGGCGGCAGTAGCAGCCTAGCAGCAGCAGCAGCAGCCTAGCGGCAGCAGCAGCAGCCTAGCGGCAGCAGCAGCAGAGCAGTAGCAGCAGCAGAGCAGTAGCAGCAGCGCAGGCGGCAGCAGCAGCGCAGCAGCAGTGCAGCAGCCCACGGCAGGGCAGGGCACGCTCGAGGCAAGCGGCAGCAGTAGCTTAGCAGCAGCTGCAGCGCAGGCAAGGCGCACGCAGGCGGCGCAGGGCAGCGCGTAGGGCAGGGCAGGACTAGCGCGGGTGCGGGTCACTGGCAGAGCGCAGGGCAGGTGCTCGCGGGCGGCGCAGGACAGCGCGTAGGGCAGGGCAGGACAGCCGCGCGTGGGCGGGGCAGGCCAGCGCGTGGGTAGCGTTTGCAGGGCAGGTGCGCGCTGGAAGGGCAGGAAAATCGACGCGCCTACGGGCGCGATACAGGCAGAAATTCGTCGTGCCTAAGGTTGCGATTCGGGCAGGAAAACCATCGGTTCTAGGGGCGCGATTTGGGCAGGAAAACCGACGTGCCTAGGGGCGCGATTCGGGCAGAAAATCGACGTGCCTAAGGTCGCAATTCAGGCAGGATAAAAAAGTGACGCGCCTAGGGGCGCGATTCGGGCAGGAAATCGAAGACTTAACGGTGGGCCCTTTTAAAAATCTGGTCCTAAGGACCTAATGGCTCTTAATACCATGTTGAGATAGGTAGGAAGGAATGGGATGGACTGGGGCAATGAGGGGGATACAATGAAGTGTCGAGCAACTTACTGTACCCCCTAAGGCTAAACCCACTACAGCCTAGATAGCAGTAAACATATAATTTGACAGTTCTTACGTGGAGCATACTTTGATACGGTACATCCTTTAGTCTCAACGCAATAACATGCTGGAGCCATTAACAGCATAGCTATGTTACAAGATGGTTTATCATAATAGGCTATGTCTTGCATGCTAGGGGGACTAGAAGACATTGCTGCCAATGGCAGGAAGTGCCAGGCAAAGCATTTTATTTAACCACATTACTATACCTAATGCATCTAGCCCAAAGAAAGTCTCAACTCTAGGTCTACCAAAGGTGCACATTCCAGCCTGCTTCTCTCCTCAAGCCCAAGCGATGGCCGATCTTGGTCAGCCCCCAACACACCATGAATGGCGCTCAGGTCCTCCACCCATCCACTCTGAAACCTGCTCAGATGCTCCGGAAGGCCTTGGCAAATCGCCTTCCTTGGGCTGTCCGTAGTCATGTGAATCCCTGATTCTGTTAACCGGGCCTTATCTGCAACGCTAGCATGATTAGGCTTGACATAGGGACGCCAGTGGGAAAGCGTTGACTCAATTGGGCTGCCAGCATCAGGAGCAGAGGAAGAAAGAGGGGCATTGCTGCCAGTAGCCGTGGTTGGTGGAGCACGCAAAAGAGCAACAGCGTGGGAAGTTGAGATGACAGGGTTGGCGGTCCAGCCACTGTTGGCGAAAGCAGCACCTCCCCCAGCAGAACGAGGGACGCAGAGCGTGGTAACAGCTGATGACTGACTGGGCGAGCGGCTTAGTCTCAACGTCTCCGATGCAGTCACTGGAACGGAGGCTTGCTGCAGGAGAGATGTCGCTGCAGTTGAAGATTTGGATAACAATCCTGTGAGTGGCGATGACATCATCTTGCTGCTGTCGGAAGGGGTTAATGCAGAGGCAACAGGCTGGGATAGGCTGCCTGAAACCGACATTGTAGAACCCGAGCCTGTAGTTGGGCTTTGTAACATGCTCTCTCCAGAGGTTGTATCTCTCTTCATTGGCGCATGCATGGACACAGCGGATGAGAGCTCCGCATTGGTGAGACCACGCGCCACATTGATCACTGCAGTGAAAGCTCCACGGCTCCCCACGCTGATGGGTGGCCTTGTGGACTGCACTGGGGCTTCCAGGCACCTAACAGCCACAGGTCTGATTGGGAGAGCTGCAGTAGTCTTGTCAGCCACCACAGTTGGTGCAGCAGCAGCAGCAGCAGCAGCAGCAGCAGCAGCAGCAGCAGCAGCAGCAGCAGCAGCAGCAGCAGCAGCAGCAGCAGCAGCAGCAGGTGACTGAGACTGAGAATAGCAAGCAGCGCTGCCATTCATCGGTGCTGCTGTGACGGCTACCTCCAGTCCATCACAAATGGAGGCCATGGAGGACCATCTTCGCTTCTGGCCGGTGAGAGAAGCAGCAGTTCCAGATGTAGGAGTGAGCTGAGCGGCACCAGCACTACCACTGGCGGCATTGGAGGCGGCATTGACACCAGTGGTAGTAGTGGAAGTGCATCGTGCAGCAGCAGCCATGCCGCGGCGAGGGTTCACCCATGACGATGCCAGCGTCTGGTGATTGTGGGAGTGGCGAAACGTCGTCGTCGTATGAGCATGGGAGCTGGGTGACGCCGGTGCGTCGCCTCCAAAAGATGCTGACGTGGATGATGATGTCGAGGACGTGGAGGGCCCGGTGCATGATCCCGGGTTATCTTGAGATGCAGGTGCATTGCTTGCATTGACGTCTTCTGTGCGAACATCCACGATCTTCCGTGCAGGGCAGAGGAACCCAGCGCGGCCTTTCTCTGTGTTCACTCCGTGGCTGCATTTGAAGTAAAGCCTGCAGGTCACAACGTGGAAGAAGAAACAAAGTAATGATTGATAATAGCACAGTGTCCTGTTCAAGGAGATTTTAGAAGACCCCACCAAAAGACACCTCAAAACGTCTGGTGATTCACTTTTCGATGATGTGCTCTTGGCTAGCGTTACCTTGTGATTGAAGGCCCCCCTTTGGAAGAGAGCACCTTCTCTCCGTATTTAAGCCACTTAAAAATCTCAATCTGCCCCCCAGGCAGCTCCATGGCTGATGGTTCGAAAATAACAAAGAGAGAATCGAAGCACGTCGATTGTTCCAAGCTGCAATGGGATGCAGTGCAGATGAAATACTATCAGACAATGAGAACTGCTGTTTGAGGCTGGAAAACATTCCGGCTTTGAATATTCTGTGAAGACTCCGAAAACTACAAGCTCTTGCGGCTCTGGGTGATAACCTACACTGAACAAGCAAACCCTAGGTAGTTGAGGGAGAGCTGGTGGATGAGGGAGAAAGGGAGGGAGGGAGGGAGACTTTGGTTGGACAGTGATCACAGTTACACTACCCTTCGCTTCCCTCGCATCACGGGAACAGCAGTTTTCGCATCTCGCTTGAGACAACGACGAGGTGGAAAATGAGTAATTACGTTTAGATTTTGATTTGATTTTGCTCTGGTGAACTTTCACGGCGGCCGGATGATAGTTCATGCGGGGACCATTCAGACTTCGCACTCCGCGTTCAGGTTGTCTGATTTTAAAAAAGCTGAATACCATAAGAGCAACCACTCTAACAGCTGTGAGCAAAGTGTTTCAATACTCCACCTACATTACTTTACGGTAATCGGAAATTTTCAACAACGGAAACACATCATTCGTCCCTGCAGCAAAACAAACAACAAACTCCCATGAAGTATCGAATCAAAGGTGTCGTCGTAGTGGTGGGGCACAGTTGTGGGACAGCGAATTGCGCGTGAATCTGGGATGCCGCGTTGGGGAAACATTCGCCTAAACGCGGCATATTCTGAGCTGGCATGAATTTGAAATAGCTGACGACGAACATTCATTGGTTCAGCGAAGCGTCACGAAAGACGTTAGAGAAAGCGCGACAGGTATTTGTGTTCAGTAAACAAACGAATGGCTAGTGGAGTGAGGGAGGGGGAGGAGGTCGCACAGGAGACCAACACCACAGGTTTCCGTTTCTGTGCTGTCTCGAAAACTGTGGTGATTGACGACCAGGCTGCCAGGTCCATGAATCTCGACCAAGCTGGACGAATCCATACAGACTATCAAGGCACAGGAATGTAGCTGCCTTCTAATTAGGATAGAGTGTTATGTAACAATTCATATGTGGAATTAATGAATCACAGAATTGTGGTTGAGTGACACAATCATGTACAATCCGTAGAAGGATACAATTAGAACCGTTTGCGACGAAACCTAGAACCTAGAACTCGCCGCCATGGATCCTGCTACAGCTACCGACAATACCAATGTCTGTCAGTTTCTTGCATGAACCTGGATTTGTTTTAATGAATGGATTCCCCTTTCTAAGAGACATAAGCAGATATCAAATACATGTTCACAATGGGAACACAGATGCTGCTTATGTATTTCCAGGGAAATCCAGTCACCAATGTTTCATCAAGCCTCAACTTTGGCTTGGTCTCTCAAAGCTCCGCAATTATCGAGGCCTTACAATATGTGGTTTTTTGCTCCGGGGTTCTACGAGATCAGATTTCTTATCAAAGGGAAACTCCCACTTTATTGACGACACGACTAATAAGTTCCATCATTCCTCCAGCAAATGAAAGGTCAACCCTCATTATGTAACTAAAAAGGCTTTCGTCTATGGAATCCCTCGCCAATTCCTCGGGTTCTCTATCTGATAGTGGTGATCCTCCTAGCAGTGCTAAATGTCAGAATAGTGAAGGAAGGAATGACTGAACTAGCAAGCAGGTGGGTACAAGTAGGAAACCTAAAAGTGTTGTACCCTATATGGACTACCCCACTACAGCCTAGACAGACTATAGCACATAAGTTTGACACACCCCCATAGGCAAAGTGGGGGAGAACAAGAGGTCACAAGACCGGTCAAGAAAGGCAAAGCAAGCTCAGGGTGGATCACGACGTCACCACGCATTCTGAGCACAAGCAAATGGCCACAAGGCCAGTTCACATGCAGAGTTATATAAAAGAAAACAAGCAATACAGTGAACACAACCTAGCAAGAGTAAGCATGCAGGTATATGTATAGAGATCAAAGTACAAGCAGAGTCAAGAAGTGAGCAAGTGAGGCCAAGTAGGCACAAGTCCTAGCATAGTACACAAGCGCTGATGATCACAAGGCTGAAATGCCTTGGTAAAGATATCAGCAGTGTTGGCCCGAGTGGCCACGTAAGCAAGACGAAGCTGACCACGCTGCTGCAACTCTCGAGCAAGGAAGTAGCGCAGAGCAATGTGCTTCGTTCTGTGCTCCAGTCTGTGCTACTGACACAAGGCAATCATAGCCTTGTTGTCGACGTACAGAACTGGAGGAGAACGAGGCGCCTCTCCCAAGTCGGTCAGCAGGTAGGTAAGCCAGCGTAACTCCTGTGCAGCCATGGCCCCAGCCTAGATCTCAGCCTCACAGTTGGAGCTGAGAACAGAAGACGAGCGGGTAGACCGCCAAGAGACAGAGCCGGAGCCAAGGCTGAAGGTGTAACCCTGTGACGACCGCTGCGTAGTCAAGTCGTCAGACCAGGAAGCGTCTGCGTGACCAGTGAGGACAACTCGAGCCCGTCCTCCAAGCACTAGCCCCATGCACGACGTACTGCACAAGTAGCGCAACACCCTCTTAGCTGCATCCATGTGCTCCTTCCTGTGTCTGCCCGGAGCGACATAGCGTGCTAGGATGCTAAGAGGGTAGGCAAGATCAGGTCGAGTGCAGGTCATCAGGTACATGAGGCAGCCCATAAGCTCTGGATACGGGCCACTCGGCTCTATGGACTCGTCCGAAGGTGGAGCTGAGAGCGAGTGACCGGTAGGCAGAGGAGTGGATTGTGGCGAGGAGTACGTGAAGACGAAGCGCTGAAGGACCTGCTGCACCATGTGTGACTGAGTCAAGGTAATGGTGCGCTGTGCTCTGTCCCGGGTGATCCGCAAGCCAAGATAGCTTGTCAGCTCACCCAGGTCTGTGCACGTGTGTCTCTTCTGCAGCTCGGACTTCACGTGGGCGAATGCCTCAGTGTCAGCAGTAGCAAAGACCAAGTCGTCTACGTACACAAGAACGTAGAAAGGCGGCAGAGTGGTGTCAGTGTGAAGAAACAGCGACGGGTCAGCAGTGGAAGGAGCAAACCCAAGAGCAGCAAGAGTCGTCCTCAGTGTGTCATGCCACTCACGAAGCTGCTGGGCCGACGGGGTCTCACGGGAATGTGGTTGCTGCTGGCGCTGGCTACCACCAAAGCCTCCACGCTGCGCGGCTCCACCTCGACCAGCTCCACCGCCACCGCCACCTCCACCACTGCTGCCGCTGTCTCCACTACCGCCGCCGCTGCCTCCACCACCCCCACCGCCGCCACCGAAGCCCCCACTCCCGCCACCACCCCCACCTCCACCGCCACCCCCTCCGCCTCCTCCACCGCCTCCACCGCCGCCCCCACCGTCCCCTCCACCACCCTTGCCCCCCTTGCCCTTGCTGTTGCGGTGCCTCCCACTAGGAGCAGACGCAGCCCCGACCTCCGCGCCAACGAGGTCGACATCAGCAGCAGAAGCAACAGAGGGGAGAAGGGGGACAGGGGAACACCCCTCAAAGAAAGGGGCGCGAGGGTCGCCGCGAGAAGCACCTACAGCAACGATACTCTTCTCAGCTGCAGTGAGGCGCTCCTCTAGCAGGTAGACGGTGAGCTCGGTGGGGCAAAGGGAGAGAAAGTGGTCCCTGACTGAAGCAAGGGAGTCAGGGAGGCGGGTGATTAGGTAGTAAAGGGTACATGGGGTGGGGGTTCTTGGCACAGAACTCAGTGGGAAGCGCAGCGCGGTAGCGGGCGTCACTAGTGCGGAGGTGAGTAATGAGGTCAGCGACTGTGGCAAAGGCGGCAAGGTCAGGGAAAAGGTACGGCAGCATGAGGCGGCTGAGGGCAGCAGTGGTAGGGGAGGAGTAGCGCGCTACTACAGCGTCATACAAAGACTTAGCAGTCTTGTACTGGCCAAAGTGCGCGCGCTCAGAAGACGGCAGGTGACTACGAACAGCAAGGCGAGCAACATCGTCACGAGTGGTCCGCTGCGAGCGAACCGTACTGTCAGCAGTGGCAGCAGGTGCAGGAGAGGCACCGGACGTGTGATCGAAAAGAGATACTCCGTCCTTAGAATCACACCGAAGAAAGAGCTGCAGGTCGTCAACCCACACGTCAAAATCAACCGCACGCACCTCAGCATCAAACGTAAGAACACTAGGGCTAGCCTTAGCGGCAGTAGCAGCAGTAGCAGCAGTGGCAGCAGAAGCAGTAGGAGCAGCGCGGGCAGGGCAGGGCGGCTCAGTAGGGCGGCGCGGCTCGGTAGGGCGGCGCGGCTTGGTAGGGCGGCGCGGCTCGGCTGGGCGGCGCGGCTCGGTGCCTGGCGGCGCGTCGCGGCAGGGCGGCGCGGCTTGGCTGGGCAGCGCGGGTGCTTACCAGGGGCGGGTGCAGGGCAGGGCCGCGACTAGGGCGGCAGCAGGGCCGCGACAGGGGCGGCTGAAGGGCAGGGCCGCGACT